GGGAATGGGGATGGAAGTGGGAATGAGAATGGGAATGGGAACAGGAATGGGAACTGGAAATGGAAGAGGAAGAAGAACGGAATGGGATCAGGAACAGGTACAGGAGTGGGAATGGGAACGGGATCAGAACAGGTACAGGAGTGGGAATGGGAACGGGATCAGAACAGGTACAGGAGTGGGAATGGGAAGGAGAATGGGAATTGGAGAAGGGTATTGGAATTGAGAATTGGGTATTGGAATTGAGAATTGGGAAGGATACAGGACTGGGAATAGGAGCGGGATTGGGAACAAGCACCGGAATGGGAAGGAGAATGGGAACAGGACCAGGAAAGGGGAATGGGGAATGGGAAGAGCAATAGGAAAATGCCCTGGAGGGGCTTGGAATGGGGCTGGATTCCACCAGGGAGGGCTGGGAGCTGAAGGCCTGGTGGAGCTTGGCACTCTAGGACCAGGAATTCTGGGAATTCCGGGAATGTGGGTAATCCCTGGAACGTTGGGAATCCCCCGGCACTGTTCCGGAGCAGCTGTCACCCTGATGGTGCGGGCGGGCAGCAGGGTGTGGATGGCCTCCATCGGCCTGTTCCCGGGAATTCCGGGAATCCCGGGAATGTGGGTAATCCCGGGAATGTGGGTAATCCCGGGAATGTGGGTAATCCTGGGAATGTCGGGGTCCCCCAGCACTGTTTCGAGGCGCACCCCGAGCCCGCGGCGGCCGTGACGCTGATGGTGTGGGCGGGCAGCGGGGTGTGGATGTTCCCGGGAATGTTGGGAATGTCGGGAATTCCGGGAATGTGGGTAATCCCGGGAATGTCGGGGTCCCCCAGCACCGTTTCGAGGCGCACCCCGAGCCCGCGGCGGCCGTGACGCTGATGGTGCGGGAGGGCAGCGGGGTGTGGATGTTCCCGGGAATTCCGGGAATGTTGGGAATTCCGGGAATGTGGGTAATCCCGGGAATGTTGGGGTCCCCCAGCACCGTTTCGAGGCGCACCCCGAGCCCGCGGCGGCCGTGACGCTGATGGTGCGGGCGGGCAGCGGGGTGTGGATGGCCTTCGCCGAGGGTTCCTCCATCCGCCTGTTCCACACCGAGACCCAGGAGCACCTCCAGGAGATCAACGTGGCCACCAGGACCACCCTGCTGCTGCCCGGTGAGCAATTAACAGCCTTAATTAGGGTCATTAATTAATGGATCCATGAGGAATCAGGGAATGGGACCACCCTGCTGCTTCCCGGTGAGCAATTAACAGCCTTAGTTAGGGTCATTAATTAATGGATCCATGAGGAATCAGGGAATGGGACCACCCTGCTGCTGCCTGGTGAGCAGTTAGCCGCTAATTAGGGTCATTCATTAGTGGATCCGTGAGGAATCAGGGAATGGGACCACCCTGCTGCTGCCCGGTGAGCAATTAACAGCCTTAATTAGGGTCATTCATTAGTGGATCTGTGAGGATTCAGGGAATGGGGTTACCCTGCTGCTGCCCGGTGAGCAATTAGCTGCTAATTAGGGTCATTCATTAGTGGATCCGTGAGGAATCAGGGAATGGAACCACCTTGCTGCTGCCCGGTGAGCAATTAGCCGCTAATTAGGGTCATTCATTAGTGGATCCGTGAGGAATCAGGGAATGGGACCACCCT